TTGAGAATGAAGTACAAATGTGCTTTACACAATTGATGTGTGTATGGATTGTGATAAGAGTTGTATGCGCCCCTAATAAAATGTTTAAAAAAAATAATCAAGGGTTCATGAGGGAGAAAGGATGGGGGAGGGAGGGGAAAAATAGAAAGTGGAAAATGATGATGGCAACAAATGTACAAATGTGCTTGACACAATGGATGTATTGCTGGGAGTTTGTTCCAAGAAGCCTCTAGGGTCAGTGGTTCTCAACCTGAGGGTCCAACAACCCTTTCACAGGGGTCACCCAATTCATAACAGTAGCAAAATTACAGCGATGAAGCAGAAACAAAAATAATTTTATGGTTGGTGGGGGGTCACCACATGAGGAACTGTATTAAAGGATCGTGGCATTAGGAAGGCAGGGAACCACTGCTCTAGGTAGATTCAAATTGCCAACCTTTCAGTTAGCAAACAGGTGCTTAATTGTTTAGGACACCCAGGATATCTAGGCTTTCTGCCTCTCTTTCACTAATGGTTACTGAGTCAAGAAGTACCCTAAATGTTAAGCGGACATAGCTGGTGAAATACGTATTTTTCACCCATTACTTCTAATGTACCTTGAGGCTTAACTAGTCTCATCACATATACCTAAAAATTAGGCTTGTACAAAACATAGATCAAGAAGGAAAAACTCCCATCTCAATGTTTCCCCATCACAAAAACCTATTTACTTAAAGACAAATGCTTCTGTAGAGGGTAGTAAAGATAGCAACAAATATTAGGAAGGCTCTTATTGAAAAGGGAATTTTTTTTTTTAAAGGGAAATTGTCTCTGTAAAAGCAAGAGAAACAAACAAACAAAAAACAACAACAGAAACCTAGACATCAAGAAGGAATTAAACAATCAGGATACATTTATACCTTCCAATCATTGTGGGACTAAAACATCATAATCTTTTAAATTACAAAATATTAATCTTTAAGGGATGAATCTTTTAAATCCTCATGGTTTCTTACTTACCTTCCTTTATGTTTCTGCCAAAATTTATCAACTGGTGTTAAGTCGTAAGATTTCTTATTTTTTCTCTTTGGCCTGGCACCAGCTGGAGAATTGTCCATTCCTGAAGATTCTTCCAAATTAACTCTGTTTAAGTGGAAATCCTAGAACAAAGTTATCTTGTGTTTAATAATTTTTCTAAGCTTAAGAGCCAAAAAATTTCTTCAACAAGGAAAATGGATTCTTGCTGACTTTTCTATTATTTGCAAGTAAAAAATACAGATAAGAAATGTAAAAGATCTCCATCTGTTTTGTTACATGCAAATTTAAATTGTTTATGTATTTTCATTAAAGTTACATGTGCAATTTCAGTAAAGCAACATGATTAAAATGTCTAGCTAAAAGCCATGCTAAGGTTCATATGTGTTCTTCTTAGAAAAATATTTATGCATAATAAGGATAAATTTACTGGAGGGGAGGTTAAAGAAAAAAAGGAGGGAGTATATTTTAAACTTTATTGAAAATAATTGGATTACATTACACATGTTCTGTATCTTACTCTTCACACATGGTGTACTTAAGAGCTATTTTTTATCTATACATATACATCTACCTCAGCTATTTTTATATCTATACACAGACAACTATCATAACTACATAGTTGTCCAATGGTAGCTGTATTAATTTATTTGATCAGTCCTCTTGATACTTGGTTGCTTTTAGTAACAAATTTATTCCTACATATAATTTTTCAACTCTTGGAGCAATTTAGGCTACAATAATAGCATTCCCTTTCACATTAACTCTAGGAACCAGTCAGATCAGTAAGGTGCTAAAATTTTTTGCTTAGGACTAATTTTATTCATGTAAAGCTGGATTTTGTGGTGCCCTTTCTCCAAACAAAGAACTGCCCCCCCCAAAAGAAAAATCCACCTCACAAATATATCAAAGAAAAACAGGAAAAACATTTTCTATAAAATTTTTCCCATTCCTGAATTAGACCAAAGGGTTTCTCAATAGTGTTTTAAGGCTCAACTCTTACTCTAAGAAGAGTGAACTGGAGGTAAAACATGAGTATAAACAAATGAGTATCAGTAAAGAATGAGCCCCCCCACCCCCACAAATAAACTAGAGAAATAAACTAGCATGACTATTATACAGTCATCTTAATTCTAAGACATTGCTTAAGGTTTTTATTAATAATTAAATTTCTAGGTCCTAGTAAATCAAATATATAGGATGTAATTTACTCTTTCCATAAAATGCACATTCTGAGATAAATACTAACTTTCTGAAATAAGCCCCTTATAGTGCTTGCCATTGTTCACAGACATAAAAAAAATGCACCCACTGCCACTGAATCAATTCTGACTATTAGCAACCCTTTAGGACACAGTAAGAACTGTCCCAAAGCATTTCCAAGGTTACAAATCTCTACGGAAACAGATTGTCACATCTTTTTCCTATGGAGCCGCTGGTGAATTTGAACGGCTGACCTTTCAGTTTGCAGCTAAATGCTTAAACCACTGAGCCACCAGGGCTCCTTAGAGTAAAAAAATAAAAGCAAACATGCAAAATCCATCAATATCTAATGGGTCACAATAGAGAAAGTGCCATGTCTACTGCTTCCATAAAATCGAGGCAATGAGGTAGCTTTGTTTTATTAACATGAGGTTCATAAAACAGGAAATCACATATAAGTAGTTGAAAGCTTCTCCTTTGAAAGATGCAAATCTGAGGTTTATTGAATTAGGTAAATTGTCCAAGGTAAAACAGACATATGGCAGATCCAAAATGAAAACCCACTAAGTCAGACTTTTAAGGAGTCTGGTGGCATAAGGGTTCAGCACTCTGCTACCAATCAAAGGGCTGGTTAGAACCCAACTGGGTGCTCTTCGGGAAAAAGACCTGGTGATTTACTCTGTAAAGATTACAACCAACAAAATTCTATGGGTATGCTCTCCTCTGTCACGATGGGTCACACAATGAATAAAAAATTGTCTCCAGGGCACCTAACAACAGTTTAACTTTAGAGGTAATGCTTGTCAATGTTATGCTAAATTCTGTACTGGATATAGGGATACTAGAATCAGGTTCTATCATATGAGGTCCCCGGTAGTATAAAACATCCTAGCCACAGTAACACAATATGGATAGCCATAAAAGGCATCATTAGACTTAAGAACTAGAGACAGTTACAATAAATGGTTAGGATAAAAAAAGTGAATGCAGATTATTATATATTTCAAACTGTTACTATTATGTCTTTTCTAAAAACTCATATTACCATAAGTGTATCACTGACCTTATTTAATTCCACTTATTTTCCCAACCCCATATCTTCACTTCATTTTGTATAACAAATCATCCATATAGGAAGAAATGAAAATAGCACAACTGTTCAAAAGTCATTTTAAACAATATCTATATTAATATATGTACATAAATATTAGTAGCTACAACTGAAAAGTCTTGCCTTTAAAAGTTATCTAATCAAACAAAAGATACAAAGAGAGGGAAACACTTTTAACAGTTAAGCTTTATTAACTAGCATTTTTGGTAAAGAACTATTTCCACAATGATCACAGAGTTAATTCAATATATAAAAGTTTCTTACTAGTAAATTACCACTTTATAAGTGAGTGCATATTATTTATTACCAATGTATTGATGAACCATGTAAAAGAAAACAAAATGATAATGGAATAAAAGGTATTAAGAATTCTGAGAAATAATGTAATAGCAACAAGAACATTTCTGTTGTTTGCATATGATGGCAAAACAAACAAGGAAATATAATTTTCAATCTTGAAGACGGGGAAATTAGAACATTCTGTGCTATACTCAACTGTGTTTAAGAAATTCAAGGCTATGAACTGTCAGAAACAGTTTGCCAAATCTTCCTTCAATCACCTGTTGGTGGGTTTGATAGACCAACCTTTTACTTAGTAGTCTAGCACTTAACCATCTGTGACACAGAGAAACTCTTTACAGCGCAATTATGTTATAGTAGCGTGTTGAGCCCCTGGGTGGTACCAAGGGTTAACACGTTTTGCTCTGTAACTGTAGGCTTGCTGATTTAGTCTACCCAGAGGTGTCTTAGAAAAAAGTCCTGGCGATTTCTTCCAAAAACTCAAGTCAATGAAAACCTTACATAATATAATTCTACGTGACACACATATATGCATACATACTAATATACTGAGAGATTTCAAATAGTTCATGGAAAAAATAATTTAAAGATTATGGAATTTTTACATAAACTTTTTGAAGCCCACTAGTTTCTACACTATTGATATATACTAAAAAGGAGCCTTGGCTAGGTAGTGGATAAGTGCTTGAACCCCTCACTGAAAGGTGAGCAGTTCGAACCTGACCAGCATGGTAGAAAGATTTGGCCACCTGCTTTCGTAAAGATCACAGGTTTGGAAATCCTAGGAAGCAATTCTACTCTGTTCTAGCTGGTTGTTGTGAACCAGAACCAACTCCAAGGCAAAAGGTTTCATTTGGTGTTACACACACACACACAATTAAAAATTTTGTAGTATTTAAAATAACTGGAAAATCCCTACAGACCCATTGCTGGCAATATGAAAATATTTTCTACCTACCTTCATGTGACAATGCAACCTTTACAAGCAATTTCTCCTAATTCTAGAAAAGCTAGTAAATAATTTGGGCCTTAATGATTCGGATGTAAATCAATATGGCCCTTCTAGCCATAATTCCCTATGTGAAGTATTCTAATTGTAGACTCTATGTCTATGATCTCATTTTGGAGGGAGTTCTCTGCCTCACTAATGGACAAGACCTAAGTAGAGAGTGTGAACCAAGTCATTCCCTTGATTTCCTTGGGAATATGATCTGCTGAAAAACAAAAATCACCCCTCCATCAAAGCCATTCTCCTGTGTCTAAGAGCCGGCTTGGACACAAAATGAAATCCCAAACCCATTGGAAGAACATATTTAAGACCTATTTCTGAAGTGGTAGAGGCCAAAACCAGAGGCACCAGAGAATACGGCAAAGAAGCCAAGCTGAGACCAGAGGCTGAGAGACAGGTGGGCTTCCTGGTCCACTGAGGCAGAGGCCAAAGGGCCATGTGACAGAGAGGCTGAGAACCAGAGAGAGACTTCACTGCTGGCTGTTGTTAGGGACCAATGACTGTATCCATATTGTCTACCCGTTAACTCCCCTAATAAGCCCCCTATATAATTACATTACATGTGATTTCTGTGAGGTCACTGCCAAGACTTATAGAACCCAGCACAGATGTAGAGTGGTATGGGAGCAATGATTGGTGTCAAAATAGGTAAAGAAGGATGGACTGTTGGCGCATGTCTGACCCTGACCATCCCGGCAACAGGAACATCAGGGTTGGATATGGCCACCGCCATGCCATTTTGGCAGTGGTTTAGAGCTGCACAGTAATGTAGTTACATGAGTCAAAAGAGAACCTGGAATAGGGCTATCTTAATTGGGAGGGAGCAGTATTTGTAAAATACACACTGGATTTTTAAGAGTTTTAGTATAAAAAGAAAATCTATTTAATGATTGTTTTCAATTACATGCTGAAATGCTAATGTTTTGAATACACTTGGTAATATACAGTATCAAAATAAAATTAAACCTTTTACTTTCTTAATGTAGCTACTATCAAATTTAAAATTCCACCGGTAGCTTGTATTGTTGATTCAGTACCACTAACTTTCAACAATGATGACAAGAATCAATTGAAAAGTGAATGAGTACAACAGAAGACAAAGGGAAGAAAAATCTCTTTGGAGTCTTTGTAAAATTATTAAATTGAAAAATAAAATCCTTTGTAAAGTACCCTGTTATAAAAACAGATAAAATAAGCGTTGTATTCCCTATGCAAGGAGAATGTAAAGAGAAAATAGTATAGCAACTAATACTAGATTATTGGTGAAATCTGAAGTTAATAAACTCTTTTTTATTCTAAATTAAATAAAAATTTAGTTCCAATTCAAAAATAGTTACAATTGTAAAGTTAAAATGCAAAATCACTATTTAAAAGAAAATTAATAAAATCAAGGCATCCGTGTACACACCTATAAACTATTTTCAGTCAGGTATTTTAGATGATTATTCATGTTTCAAATTTTTTTTTTCTTCACATTGCAAGGGTTAGTCTTGTGCCAATTT